GTGAAACGTGTAAGAATTTTGTGTTACAGTTATGTTTACGTATCACCGCTTGGCACTTAGGTCACCAACTATGCACAACGTGTTCGCTACCAATCAGTGTGACCGCTAAGGATTTATGAAATATTCCCTTCGAAACTTTTGCCCATCTCTTTAACGACTACGACAAAAATTTTAATTTAATAAATTCATAATAATTTCATGTCACGATCACGGACTAAAATATTATACTTATTTTGCCTGACATTACTTATATACAACCACAAAGTAGAATATTACACATTACGATGGGTATAATATGTTTAATACGATATACTTACTATTTATTTTAGGTATACCAGTATACCTTAGTTGTAGTTGTAGATAGCTATTATACAATTCATACAAATAAACAATCGTGATAGACACTCAATCTCAATGATATTATCTATTAAATGTATATCATAATTAGTATTTATCTTCAACATTACTATTTAATTCATACTAACAACTTATGAGGAAGTKTGTATGAAAATTTGAAGTTTTTCTTACGAAATATCAACAATAATTTTTAAAAAAACTTATAAAAATTGAATTTTCATAACTTATAAATGACTTGATAAGTGTTGAAAAGATATTTTGAAAATATTATAGTGTATTTAAAAAGCCATTATAAAAACTTTAATACTTCTATACTTTTTCCCTTTTTATAGGTGAAAAAAAATGTCATGAATCTGCAGTTAAATTTTCCACTTTAAAGAGTTCTACTAAAAATAAAATCGATTTTTTCGAATATTGGTYTTACGTAAAAATTTGATATTCCTTAATTTTAATTTTGTTTTCCCAGACGCTTAAGAAAACTATTGGGATTTTTTTTTCAACCGCCCAACCCAGATTCAGTTCCCCAACAGAATATATTTTCAAGTAAAAAATAAAAAGCGTTTATACTGCTCCGAAAGTTGATGACAGATATACATCAAATAAATAAATCAGTACATTCATCGCTCCTCTCCGAATCTAAATTGCCAGAAATCAGATTTTGAATAGTTGCCTTACTGAAGAAAAAATAATAAATAATCGTATTTTGTAACTATTAAAATCGTCTACCAAGCAGGTGGCAAATTTATTTTATCTTAATAAATAAATAAATATTTGAATAAGTACGTATCCAAGAGATAAGCGTAAAAAATTGAAATAAAGAGCTGGATGAAGGGAGAAGTCACTGAATTGCGGCAGAGCTTATAAGAATTAAATAATTCTTATTGTAATATACTAACATGTGCTCATTAACTCTGATCAAATACTATAAATTTATAGTATTTGCTAATATGTACTWAGTATATATCTAAGTGTTACTYCATGTCTGTCCCCTACGCGGCTGCACGCGCTATTCAGTTACTTGAATTTCAGTATTCATAAATTCATAATTCGTATCGGGGTTCGGCACTTCGGCAGAATAATTCCTATCACAATTCGCGATTCACCGGCATCTGATTATGGCCAGCTGACCATAATGGGCGGGATGTCGGAGCTGTGCATKAGCAGTGCGTGCACAGCCACGGTACCGTGCGGTAACGCTTCGCGTTCGGTTTCTGTTCCATGATAACGGAACATACACACTCCTTGGGGTGTGTTTAAATCGGAGTCGAGCTGAGTCATATTGTAAGAATCCAATGCCCGTAGTAGTACAACACTGTGCCGTACAGTACAACAATTTGTTAGTGTTTTCCTGCACGGACGTCGGGCGTTTTATTCATAATATTCTCTCCGGTCTTGTGTGTGAGCAAGTTAACCGAAAAAAAAACCCGCACCCCGTTCCGTTTTTCGCCCGTCGAAGCGATTAACGTTTATTGCACWCACGCACAATCTAATCGAAACCGTAAATTGTTCCGACATGGCATCTGGAGTAACAGTAGCTGATGCGTGCAAAAAGGTCTACGAAGAGATCAAAAAGGACAAGAAACAYAGGTACGTGGTGTTTCACATTAAGGATGAGAAGCAGATCGACATTGAAGTGATTGGTGAGCGCAACTCTACTTACGACCAGTTCCTAGAAGACCTACAAAAGGCCGGTCCGCAAGAATGCCGTTACGGTCTGTTTGACTTCGAGTACACACACCAGTGTCAGGGSACATCGGAGAGCTCAAAGAAGCAAAAGCTCTTCTTGCTTTGCTGGTGCCCGGACACAGCCAAAGTTAAGAAGAAGATGGTCTACTCGTCCAGCTACGACGCGCTCAAGAAGTCACTGGTTGGCGTACACAAGGCGTTCCAGGCCACTGACCATTCGGAAGCTTCCCAAGAAGTCATCGAGGAGAAGCTCAGGTCCACCGACAGACAGTAAAAATAATTCAACAAAAAACTTATATACAACAATACGCATATGATATTTATGTATATTTATAAAGCAAAGTTTTCGTCTTTTACGTTTTGGTATTAAATAAAATAAACAAAAAAAAATATATATATAATATTAGTACTTCCACAACGTAATCTTTATTATTACAAAACAAAACAAAAATATTTATAAATTCAAAAACATATAATACTAACATTTCAAAAAAAAAAAAATCTAATAATCATATTATACATTGTTATAAAGCGATATGTTCCCGTAGGAGCATTTATTTTATACCTATATATTATTTTAAGTATTTTAATGCATGCGTGTTTAATTTCTCATCGACAAATTATACGTATTTCAAACTTGATGCTCTCTACTTTATTTTGTTGGTTTTTTAATATTTTAATTCCATTATTTATTTCGTATCATTTTCCACGATACGCGCGTGCATGTGTGTATGATTTGAGAATAAAATATCTCATCACAAGTTCACCACGCATAAACATTATTAATTATTTTTGTGCTGTGTTGTTTCTTTCCTTTTGTGTGTCGAATTTGAACTTTGGAGTCTGGACGGTTCTGTTTCTAAAGTTTATTTTTTCTTACTCCTATTTCTTAGTCTATTATCGGCGTTTACTCATCCAACCTATGCACAACACACACATACACACATATATATATATACGGTTGGCTAATTTTATTTGGTTTTTTTCTCCGTTCTCGTCCGCTCCGCCGTCTCTTCTCGTTAGTCGGCGGGTGGAAGAGAAAGAGATAGAGTGAGAGAAAACTACCGCCGTAGT